ATTGAGTAAAATGAGGACTTTGAGGAAATTGAGTACTTTGAGTAAATTGAGGAGAAGCGACCAAAGTCCTCACTTTTGGTGGCTTCTCCTCGCTTTTGCCTGAGCCAATCAGATTATTCTATGTTTTGTTAAGTATGAGTTGCTCCTTTTCCTCCACGCGATCACAAATGACTTGAGAGGGCCTTTCTGTTTTCCAACAATGACCAAAATCCTCGTTCCTGGCGAGTTGAATCGGACCTTTTTTCCGAATGTCCAAATGTTTTGAAATTCCGCGACTCTCAGATTCCTTTTCCAGTCTCTCCCCCAACGTTTGGCCGACCACTCCGACCACCGTTCCCGGCCGTTCCAGTGCACTTACAAAAAACAAGCATGAATGTATGGGGAAGACTTGCGGTGGTATGCGGCTTAATGCTTGTCTCACCGGTATGTGGGTTCACTACTGCACTATTCAGAGTGCGATCCTCAAGGAATCATCGTAGCATCAAGGCTTCGCAACAAATTGTAGAGATCAATGCTACGCTTGACGACCGTTCTGTGGAAAAGCTATTTGCATGGGTGTCACGAGCCTTCGAAGGTAATGCGAGAATTATTCGATTGATTTCGATTTGCTGTTGTTTCCAAACCGATCTCTAAATTCATGTTGCAATGCTTACGTTGCATCCCACCGACTATAGGTGAGCCAGGCTACAACAACCTGATGCTTGCAGTTGCCTGCATATGGGGGAACCTCCCTTTGGATTCGGTCCCCAATCAAATGTTGGAGGCCGCCATGCTGAAACTCCCTGACGAGGAAACTCTAGTTGGAGATCCATTCTCGATAGAAGAGCGTGAATACAATAGCCTTGGCGCGATGGGTGCAGGACAATGGATGGGTCAATATAGAACCAGACCCCATGCACTTTTGAAACTCAATTCAACATTTGCCTCTGTCGATGATTGGGTGCAAAGTCTTCCGCGAGGTTGCAAGAGAACGATAAAGAAAGCTTTGACTCATAACTTCACTGTAACGACACTGCCGATTCTAGGAGATGAGCCAGCTCCGCACTCGAAGCTAGCAGCCTTTCGATGCGTTGTGGCGCATGAAGTTCGTCTCTTATCATACGATGCGGAGGACTTCCTTTCGGCAATCTCCGAGGGTATCTCTAGGTATATTGGAACAACTAGAATGACCGGGGAAATTCGAGAGTATCGAAACATGGACGGTAAAGTAATAGCTGTTGCTCATGAAGTAAGAAAAGGGAAAACTGCTCGGGGCCAGTGGTTTTATGCGGATGATGAAGCGGCGAAAAGTTACGTTTGGTTCCATTCGGTTTATGAACTGGTCAGAAGATCCATTGAAGCAGATGGCATCACAGCGGTCGATCTAGGACCAAGTGGTTCGGATGCTTTCAGTGAGTTGAAATCTCGCTACGGCTTCCTCTCGTACGACCACTGGCCAGACCACGCTGACTACCACGGCGATTTCTGGTACCAGGGTGCTCCTCGAAAAAGTAGTTGGTTTTAGACGCAACTGGAGTCTCTCCCTTTTCTCGACATTACTTTGCAACGTTGTTATTTTGGAGACATCATGCAGCAACATTATGTGTTCATATCCTTGACTAGCAGCCTTCTTGGTATCTAGCCCGTGTCTTGTAGACACGAGTGCACTCTTGCCAACCTGTACATGGTACATTTACATCGGCAAATAGCAATCGTCTTGATACCCCAAGCCAGCTTTGTTGACGTGAGTGTACTGTTATCAAACGTCTCAAATTGCCTAGTGTTGCTCCTCTTCAAGTCCAAAAATGGTCATTCAGATAGCAAAGACTCAACTTCCTAAGGAAAAGAAATAGGATGCATTATGCTTTCAAATGGCTTCTTATGAAGTCCAATCTCACCACGGATTACATTTTTACGCCGAGATCCTTGCAACGACGGCTCCGATCATCGATAATGGTTCAATTGGCATGTCATTGACAAATTCTTTCAATTTTGTTTCCTCCTCACCAAACCTGTTGGGCCGCCTCTTGAGGTACCGGTACTGGTAATGTAGGCAAGCAAGTCTCAGAAATCCCGTTCGCGGGATCTCTGGACTGATTTCCGGGTCCCTTGAAACCCACAAATAACCCACCTACCACCTACAATGCATCTACAATCCGCTAGAGAGCAAGAACCAATACGAACACATAAAAATGAAAGATGTCAATCGGCTGCGGTTGTACCGGTAGTGATGATGTTTCTGTATTCGCGCTCAATCCAAAGTCGATGTTTTTGCGGCATTCAAATTGGGGCTTTAGAAGTACGTCCAACAAAGACAACAACCCTGCTCACTTTGCAGCGAAAAAATCCACAATCTCCAGAAACAGTGATGGCTTCCGCAACGTCCACCCCAGGTTCTCTTGGCCCTGCAGGAGGTCCTCGGCCCAACACACCAAACGGTGGAATGGATGAGCTTCTTCCATTGGTGATCCAACTGACAAATGCCGAACAGGTCTGTCCTTTTCAAATTTGATTGCATACGCAACTATCCTCACAACTCACAGAAGTCTTGACAACACTGCTGTCGCTTGAATATTTCAGAGGGAAGTTGTGCTATTGGAGCTGTCAAAAAAGAGAGAATCATTTGCTGACTTGGCACCAATTCTTTGGCATTCGACGGGGACTGTTGCAGCATTACTACAGGAAATTGTTTCGATCTACCCACTCCTTACTCCTCCTACTTTGACTGCTCATGCGTCCAATCGCGTCTGTAATGCTTTGGCGTTGTTACAATGCGTGGCATCGCACTCTGACACTCGACAGCCTTTCCTCGCAGCTCAAATCCCGCTATATCTTTACCCTTTCTTGAATACACAGTCAAAGTCGCGGCCATTTGAATACCTAAGACTTACGAGCTTGGGAGTCATCGGAGCCCTTGTAAAGGTTGATGATGCTGAGGTCATATCGTTTTTGTTATCAACGGAAATAATTCCACTTTGCTTGAGAATCATGGAGACTGGATCAGAGCTTTCGAAAACCGTTGCCACTTTCATTGTCCAAAAGATTCTTCTAGAAGAGACTGGGCTTAACTACGTTTGTGCCACCGCTGAACGGTTTTACGCTGTCAGCACTGTGCTGGCAAATATGGTACAGCTTCTGAAACTGCATCCTAGTGTGCGGCTATTGAAGCATGTAGTTCGGTGTTATCTTCGTTTGGCAGATCATCCCAGAGCGAGAGATGCGTTGAAAACGTGTCTACCGAATTCTTTAAGGGATAACACCTTTGGACCTCATCTACACAACGACCCAACTGTACAGAAATGGTTGTCGCAACTGCTTGGTATTGTTGGTGCCGGTGCAGTAGAGGAAGGAAACGGAAACGCAAATATGTAACGTGATATAACTGGGCCATTGCATTATGCATCATTCGACGTCATCTTTGGTGCCAAAATCCCTGATGTGAGCAAGTTTAGAACTGTATTTCCTACGCTTGATCACACCGTACCAGTACCAGGCAATGCCACCGAAAACAGAGACGACAGAGCTCAATAGGCGCCAGGGGTGTGCAAGGGATTCTGGGTACCGGTAGTACTGTAGTTGTCATACAGCGCCTGGTAAACGTACTGTCACTCTGTTGCAGTAATCGTGATATGTCGCATGACAGACGCCGTCTGTACTTCGTTCCTCAGTCATGAGTCACATCTAACGACCCTGTTAGAGCGACCCAAATGTTGCCGGCCGGCCACGCGCCTGCCAGGACTGTTTGATCGGTCCAAGTGGATTGACAGTCGTCTGTCTGACTCCTAGCCGACTTCTTTGACTGGCAAAAGACATTGGCGGCAAAATTGAATTCGGACTTGGCGCTCCGCAAATCATCAAAGTAACTGGAGTGAAATTGAAATAAATTTCCTGTGAAACAAGCATACTAGTAGCACTACCTTCCCCTTCCCCCCCATCCTTTTCAATG